TCCTTATATGATAGGATGTTGTAGTAGTGGTATGTTGGTTATAGTGCTAGTTGTTGTGACATGTTCTACATGGGGTTTGGATGCTAAACAATGGACCTGTCTTGGAAGCTTTCCTGAGAACAGAACACAGAAGAACCGTTAGAGGACGACCGGGTGCTCTTCCGGGACGTCACTCCGACGATCAAGTTAGTTTTCCGAGAGAGCGGATTTTAGGGTAAATTCAGTGAGGGATAAGATGGATCTCTTCCTTGAGGCGGAAGAGAACGCAGAAGAGATCCTTTTGTACCTGTTACTAACGGATCGTGGGGACCTCGTCCAATGAGTGTCATACGTGGCCTCCTCTAACTGGGAGAATAATGCCCACGCTAACTAACTACCTGGTGACGTCAGTTCTGGGCGTTACCTAAGCTTCTTGTCACGTCCTAATTGGTCGTGAGTGAATGACAAGGTCATGGGGGATATTCGTCCCTCGTGGAAGGAAGCGAACTGCTACCCCGGTGCTGGATTACTTGGGCCAAGGGTGGGCCTTGGCCAAGGTTTAAACGAGATAACGTCTCGTTTATACTTCCGTTACATTTAACGTGGCAGTTCATGGTAACGTTAACACTAGTAGATTGGTTATCATCTAATGGAGTGTCATAGGGGTTGTATGTAGTCATGTAGGATATCCTAAGAACTCTTGTTTTAGGCTTTCCTACCTGTTCTTTGTTTGGTTGTGGCTCTAGAGTAGGATCATATGTTCGGGTGGCTATCTCACATCTGGTTACTTATGGTTACACATTTCATGGAGGCTAGCTGGTAGCGAGACAATATGATGTGAGAAGACTAGTAGGCTAGTGAGCTGTATGATTGATGTTTGCCTATATTGTGTGCCTACTTGATCCTTGATTGTTTATATATCGACATATGGTGGTAGTGGGTTGAGGCGGTCTTGCTTTGTGTTGAGGCCAAGATACCCGGTGCGGGTCGGCTGTAAGCCGTAGGCATGAAGGCTCGGAAAGAGCGGTTGGGTTGAGGCGGTAGGCCAACAAACCCTGGGTATTCCAGTCTGATGACTAATTGGACCCGTTGCATGTTGGTATTCCAGTCTGATGACTGATTGGGCCTGAGCATTCCAATCCAATGATTGTGGGTCGTTATGCATGCTTGTATGTTTATCGTATGAGGGTATTCTGGGGGAAACTCACTAAGATTTGTGTTTACCTAGTTATTTTGTTTTTCAGGTTTTATCGGTGATCGTGGGAAGATGAAGGCGGGACTGTACACACTCATCAACATCATTGAGGATTCTGCGTTTCTTATATTACTCTGATTTTCAATAAATGTAATTTGGAATAAACGGTTTTCTTAATAATAGGTTTATAATTGGGAAGTTTTACTTTAATAAAATAAAAAATTTTGGTTGTGAAAATGGGACGTTACAATATTGATATAGATCTAGATATGGCAGATCGATAATTGAGTTAGGGTCGATATCTCCTTCATGAACTTGCCCAATAATATTGACCGATTGAACATAATTTGGGTCCCAAATTCAAAATCCAACATGGTGCTGCCATCAATCCATACATATTCATCAACCAAAATTTATTGTCGAGATTGATAGTTACTTCTAAGACGTCGATCGATAATATAGTTAGGGTTGATTGAACTTACTCGTTTGTAGATGCAAATCCCAATTTTATAATCACCCATTACAAATTCATTTCATACATAAACTCTTTAGATGATAATAATTGCATTTCTCCTAAATCGAATTTAATAAAAAAGTTTTGATAATAGATTGTGCATAATATGAGCAGTAAAAAAAAGAACCATATCTTGAATAAGAAGACTGACGATAGTAATGATTTCAAATAAGTATTTTAGTAATTTAGTTATAATCTAATTTTAAAAGAATATTTTTAATTTTAAATAGATTAATTATGACTATATTATGTATTTTGGTATATACGTGAGTTTATAGGTTTTATACAAGTTTACAAAAATATAAATAAAAGTTTCCTTATATTTTAATTTTTAAAAAATCAACGACATCTAATTAATTTATAGATTAAAGTATTAGACTAATCTTCAAGTACATGAAATACATACCAATACAACAAAATACGGTAATAAAGTTGCATATTATATATTTTGATTTCATTCTACATATTAGTTGTAAAAATATAAAATTAGAAAAAAAAAAACTTTATTTATATAACTTTTGTTTTAAAACCCAAAATAATTCAAGCCCATTAATTTAGAAAAAAAGGAGTATAAAAGTTATAACCATTTTCCTCCAGATCACACACTATGATATCACTCTCTTTCTACTCCTTTCCTAATTTTTCACCCACCCTTCTTCTTCTTCTTCTTCCCCATTTCTCTCTGAAATAACCAGTGTGTGTATGTGTGTGTGAGAGAAATTGACCACAAGATGAGGTTCCTCTTCCTCCTACTGCTGTTACAGTGCATTCCCAACTCATTCTCTGCCAAATCAGGCCGATTGCCGGAATACCAAGCACTCATTTCCCTCAAATCCGCCATCTCCGACGACCCACAGTCCTCCCTTTCCACCTGGGACCTTTCTACCAGCCACTGTACTTGGTCCGGTGTCACCTGCGATTCTAGACGCCATGTTATCGATCTCGACATCTCCGGCCGCAATCTCACCGGCACTCTCTCCTCCGACATTGGTCACCTCCGCAGCCTCGTTAATTTCACCATCGCCGCCAACAACATTGGTGGCCCTATTCCACCGGAGATCGCTTCCATTTCTGGCCTCCGCCTCCTCAATCTCTCCAATAATATTATTAATGAGACATTCCCACCGGAACTTTCTGCGCTTAAGTCTCTGCAAGTGCTTGACCTTTACAACAACAACATGACCGGCGACCTGCCACTCGCCGTCTCCGAAATGACCAACCTCCGACACCTCCATCTCGGCGGAAACTACTTTTCTGGCGTTATTCCGCCGGAGTACGGACGGCTTCCTTTTCTTGAATACTTGGCTGTCTCTGGGAACGAACTCACAGGCTCTATTCCTCCCGAAATCGGAAACTTAACAAACCTCCAACAGCTCTACATTGGGTACTACAATGGTTACACCGGTGGTATTCCTCCAGAAATCGGTAATTTATCAAGCCTCATTCGCCTCGATGCTGCCAACTGTGGTCTCTCCGGTGAAGTTCCTCCGGAAATCGGGAAGCTTCAAAACCTGGACACGTTGTTCTTGCAAGTGAACGGACTTTCTGGATCTCTAACGAAGGAGCTTGGAAGCTTGAAGAGTTTGAAATCCATGGATTTGTCAAACAATATATTCACCGGAGAAATTCCCCCCTCTTTTGCAGACCTCAACAATCTCACCTTACTCAATCTGTTCCGAAACAAACTCCACGGATCGATTCCTGATTTCATCGGCGAACTGCCGGAGTTGGAGGTATTACAGCTCTGGGAAAACAACTTCACCGGAAGCATTCCTCAAGGCCTTGGCAAGAACGGAAAGCTACAGATCCTTGATCTGTCTTCCAACAAATTAACAGGTTCACTTCCTCCCAATCTATGCAATGGAAACAAACTCGAAACGATAATCACTTTGGGAAACTTTTTATTTGGTCCGATTCCGGAGTCTCTTGGTGAATGCCAATCGCTGAATCGAATCCGAATGGGAGAAAATTTCCTCAATGGTTCAATTCCAAAAGGGCTTTTCAGTTTGCCTCATCTCTCACAGGTTGAACTTCAGAACAATCTTCTCTCCGGTGAATTCCCGGTTACCGATTCTGTTTCAGCGAATCTCGGTCAGGTCAGTTTGTCAAATAATCGATTAACCGGTCCGCTGCCGGCCACCATTAGCCAATTTTCCGGTGTGCAGAAGCTTTTACTTGATGGTAACAAGTTTACCGGCAACATTCCCGGCGAAATAGGCAAACTACAGCAACTATCCAAGATCGATTTCAGCCACAACAGTTTATCCGGCGAAATCGCTCCTGAAATCAGCCAGTGTAAACTTTTAACATATGTCGATCTCAGCCGTAACCAGCTCTCCGGCGAAATCCCAACCGAAATCACAGGCATGCACATTCTAAATTACTTGAACGTCTCTCGTAATCATCTAATCGGAAGCATTCCAACATCCGTAGCGTCAATGCAAAGCTTAACATCCGTCGATTTCTCCTACAACAATCTCTCCGGTCTTGTCCCCGGCACCGGTCAGTTCAGTTACTTCAATTACACTTCATTTTTGGGGAACGCCGATCTCTGTGGACCATATTTAGGACCTTGTAAAGAAGGAATCGCAAACGCCACCCATCAACCACATTCAAAGACATCACTTTCCGCCTCTGTAAAACTTCTTCTCGTTCTTGGCCTACTCTTCTGTTCCATCGCCTTCGCCATTGCAGCAATCATCAAAGCTCGATCTATCAAGAAAGCTTGTAAAGCTCGATCATGGAAGCTTACTGCTTTCCAACGCCTAGATTTCACTTGCGATGATGTTCTCGATTCTTTAAAGGAAGATAACATCATCGGAAAAGGAGGAGCGGGGATTGTTTACAAAGGCGCCATGCCCAACAATGAGCTTGTGGCGGTGAAAAGATTGCCGGCCATGAGCCGTGGTTCTTCTCACGACCATGGATTCAATGCCGAGATTCAAACCCTAGGAAGAATCAGACATCGACATATCGTGAGATTATTAGGGTTTTGCTCCAACCATGAAACTAATTTGTTAGTGTATGAGTATATGCCAAATGGGAGTTTGGGTGAAATGCTTCATGGGAAGAAAGGGGGACATTTGCTTTGGGACACAAGATATAAAATCGCTATTGAAGCTGCAAAGGGTCTTTGTTATCTCCACCATGATTGCTCACCATTAATCCTCCATCGTGATGTCAAATCAAACAATATACTTTTGGATTCCAATTTTGAAGCCCATGTCGCCGATTTTGGTCTTGCAAAGTTCTTGCAGGATTCCGGCACCTCAGAATGTATGTCTGCCATTGCCGGTTCTTATGGCTACATCGCCCCAGGTATAAAAGAATCTCATCATATCCTAGCTTAAATCTTTGATTTTTTTCAAATTGGTATTTCAAATTATTGATTTTTTGACATGGGTTTTTGAATTTGGGATCAAAGCTTTGGTTTTTGTCATGTGGGTATGTCAGATTATTGATTTTTGGACATCGGTTTATGAAATTGGTATCAAAGCTTTAATTTTTTCAAATGGGTTTTGGAAATTAGGACCAAAGATTTGATTTTTTTCATATGGGTATTTCAGATTATTAATTTTTGGAAATGGGTTTTTAAATTAGGGATCAAAGCTTTGATTTTTTTCAAATGGGTTTTGGAAATTAGGATCAAAGCTTTGATTTTTTTCATATTTGTATTTCAGATTATTAATTTTTGGACATGGGTTTTTAAATTAGGGATCAAAGCTTTGATTTTTTCAAATGGGTTTTGGAAATTAGGATCAAAGCTTTAAATTTTTTTCATATTTGTATTTCAGATTATTAATTTTTGGACATGGGTTTTTAAATTAGGGATCAAAGCTTTGATTTTTTTCATATGGGTATTTCAAATTATTAATTTTGGACATGGGTTTTCAAATTTGGGATCAAAGCTTTGATTTTTTTCACATGGGTATCTCAGAATCTTGATTTTGAGACATGGGGTTTGGAAATTGGGACCAAAGCTTTGATTTTGTCCATATGGGTAATCTCATATTATTTTTTTGGACATGGGTTCTGGAAATTGGGACCAAAGCTTTATTTTTTTTCCAAATGGGTATCTCAAATTATTGATTTTTGGACATGGGTCTTCGAAATTGGTACCATATCTTTGATTCTTTTCACATGGGTATTCGTATATCAAGATTACTCGTATATCAAGATTATTGATTTTTTGACATGGGTTTTGAAAATGTGAATCAAAGCTTTGATTTTTTTCACATGGGTGTCTCACATATTGAACTTTTCGACATGGGTTTTTGAAATCTTGACCAAACTTCTGATTTTTATAATAAAAATTGTGTGATTTTTGTTTCAGAATATGCATACACACTTAAGGTTGATGAAAAGAGCGATGTGTATAGCTTTGGTGTGGTTCTTTTAGAACTTGTAACAGGAAGAAAACCAGTTGGGGAATTTGGAGATGGTGTTGATATTGTGCAATGGGTTAGAAAGATGACAGATGGAAGCAAAGAAGGTGTTATGCAAATCTTGGATCCAAGACTTTCAAGTGTTCCAATTCATGAAGTAATGCACTTGTTTTATGTTGGAATGTTATGTGTTGAAGAACAGGCGGTTGAACGTCCGACAATGAGAGAAGTTGTGCAAATGTTGACGGAGCTCCCAAAGCCGCCCAATGCCGCCGTCACCACCGCCTTAGCTCCGCCATCGCCCACCATGGAAGATGGCAAAGAGAAGCAAGAGCCGGCTGATCTTTTAAGCATATGAAGGAAAGAGTAAAGGTGTTTGAGTTGGTTAATTTGGGGTTAGGTTTGGTTTTTTGTTCTTTTTTAATGTTTAGGGGGGAGGGAAGGGTTTTTAGTTGTAAGTGTTAAGGATGTTTTTGTTATGTTTTAGAAAGTAATTTGTGAATAGTAAGATTGGTTGGGGGTTTTTAAGTTTATGGTAGTTGTTGGACTCTTTTTTTAGGATGTTTTGAAAATAAGCAAGTCCTTTAATCAAGAATCAAGTAAGCAAGCTCTCAAATTCTTTCTTTGATACTTGAAAAAAGATCATCAACATCCATAACAAATGTGCTGTTTATAACTTTGAGAGTGATCGAAATGGGAATTTGATTCGATTTTGATTTTGTATTTGGTTGAATGTGAATACTAATTTTAAATAAGAAGGTGTTTGATAGTCTCTAATATGACCATTGAGAGGAAACATCTGAATGGTTCAGCTCATTAAGAGCATTTGGTTTGTCAAGTTAGAGCCTTTGAATCGGTAGATGCATCTGAATGGTCCAGCTAAAAGGATCTAAAAGGATGAGTCTTAACCATTTAAAGGTTAGAAATCCCTAGAAACATCCATCATCTGTCGTAGTCCTCACCTCCTCCCTTTATCAGCTTTTGGTGGTACCTTTATGCCACTTTTCATTGTATGTCGACCAAGTCAAGAACAAGGAACAAAGATGACTTATATTGTCGATTAGAGTCTAATAGCCATTTATGTTGTTTTATATGGATATATCGATATAGAAAGATTTACTTTAATTTGAGCCTTACGTTTACATCAAAGGATATCCATTATAACATCGAGTTAAAATTTTAGAACATCCTATATGTTAGAAATCTGGGGTATGTTAGAGATTTAGAGTAATAAAGCACTTGAACTTATGAGAATCGTGATAACACTTTTAAATTGAGGTATTTCGGCGGTACTCTCGGAACCACCAATTGGATAAGACTCAAAATATGAGAGAACAAGAACAGAGAATGAGATGTTACGATTTTTGTATGCACCTAGAAGATATGACCAAAAAACAGATTATGTATATCTTTGTTTGAAAACTGTCACAAACAGTTTCATATCTGAAAAATGTCAAACTGTCCCAAATAAAAAATTTCCAAACTGACATGGCAGCTCGACCCAGCCAGGGGCTTTGCTTCCAGGGGCGCTGCCCCCAGATTCTCGTTCGTTCAGGGGCTTCGTTCCTAAATGACAGTTTATTTTGAATCTTGAACAAACTTAAACAAGTGTGCACTCCACACCTCCCCTACTTATTTAATATTTGTCAAGATTATATTTGGTCAACAAAGTAATCCATTACACTTAAATACACATTGGAGATACAAATTACCAACAAGGTATTTCGATTGCTTGGATTCCACTAAGAGTCGTGATACACTTTGAGATTAAAGTATTTCGATGGTACAATCGAAGTGATTAAATGAAGAATAGAGAATGTGAATGTTATGATATGATGTACCAGAAGAATCACCAAAAATGGAATTTACGATGGTGTCTGAAAACTACCAAAAAGTTGTCACAATGCAGTTAGAAAACAACCAAAAAACTAAGTTAAAATCGGTTTCATGTTAGGGGTAAAACCACCAGGTTTAATGTTTCAATGTCAGGGTCAAAATTATCTAGGTTAAAATTCTCAAATTCTTATGTCTTTTCATTTTCTATAAAACAATATTAACCCAGTTAAAAAAATCAAGCTGACTCGACCCCACCTAGAGATTCTGACCCTTGGACCCCGCTACCAAGGTCTCTGCAGAGACCCGTGGTTTAGAGGTTTCACCATTAAATGATAATGTACTTTGAATCAAGACAAATTCAAACAAGTGTGCACTCCTCACCACCTTACTTGTTCAATATTTGTCAAGATCAAATCGATCAACAAATTAATCTCATTACACTTAAATAACATTGATAACATAAATCACCAACACTATAGTTATGGTTATTAGTTAATCAAATATATTTAGTTGACTCTTCATTTTGGAAATTAATTTTAAATTAATATTTTGTTGTGTTTTTTAATTGTTTGATTAATTCATTTTGGATATGTTGATTACATTTGAAACTTCTGTATTTATGTTTTATAAATATATGGATATTTAACTTTTAATGGTTGAATTTTTATTTATTGAGTATTTATGTTTTATAAAATTAACATTCATGAATTTTATAAACCAACCATTAATACATTACTATTTGGATATTATTTTTGTTTAAAGTGCATTGCCTTTTTTAATAACTTTGATAGTCCATTCCATGGGATTTGATCAAAATAGGAACGTAAGTCCATTCCAATTTTATATTTGGTTGCAAAGGAATAGAGGAAATAAGTATGAATTTTATTTATGTTGGATGCATGATCCTATGATCCTATCACAAGATAATACTTTTTTTTTGAAGGTGTTGTAAGTTATCTCAAGTTCAACTTTTCAACATTAAATGTTACAAACATGAAACACAAGAAAAGTTAACAATTTTAAAACATCTTAGGTTCAACTTTTCAACATTAAATGATACAAACATGCAACATAAAAAAAGTCCATCGACATCTATTTGTTACCGGTCATAAAAGAAAATTATAAGTTTAAAACAAAAAGAATAAATCTATCTGATATAATATTGCAAATGATGATTAATATATTTGTTTCTTCCAAAGTAAAATCAATTTCTTTTTCTAAATCTCATCACCACCAACAAAAAAGAAAGTCACACGATCCTTTTTTTTATTTTTTTTATCATCGTCGTTAATCATAAAAATATGGAGTAAAACAATAGTATAAGTCAAAATAGAAACCACATGCTTAAGTTTTAAAATAGAAAGTAAGAGTGTAATAAGATACCAACTCGAGGGCAATCATATTCACCATACCATCAAACTTTTGAATAAAGAAAATATGTTTGTTTGTAAACAAATTTAGTGTTTTTATTTTAAAATAAAAACATCTAAATTAAATGCTAGTTCAACTGATTTTTAAATAATTTTATATCTTTAAATATTTATAGTAATATTTATCATACACTTATACACAAAGAAAAAATATATTTTACAACTTTCAACTACCGTTTACCAATTAGTTTTTCTAAATATACCCATTTTTATACGAATCTTATCCTCTAACCGATTATTTTACAATTGATATCATATGATGATTCGTAAGATCTTACAATGCTACAAATCGAAATAACTATGTCGGTCTTTTCTTCTATCATTTCTTTTTTTGTTCATGAATATTATTGTAGTATTTTTCATCAATTAAACGTTTAACAGAATTGAACTTATTTATGCTTTAGATCTTTTAAACTCGAATTTCTTTAAGATATTCCATTTATTTTCAACAACATATGGACGAAGCGGTCGTAAAGTTTCATTGAAGTTGCAAAAAGATGATATCAACCGACTGTTTTTCAACTATTAAAAAAACATTGTCAAGAACAAATGAGAGCACGAAAAGGATTTGGGTGAGATTTTTGGTATTTTGATGAGCATATTCGTGAATAATGTATGTATTTCATAAGAAAAGAAGGGTTGAAAAGCCGTCGTAAATGAATAAATTAATAGAAGCAGCAGTGAGTTACAATTACCAAGAAAGAGAATCTTGATGAAAGTCAAAGTTCAAAGCAGTAATAAATACACCATTTATAGTAGATACTCTACGCATGCTTACAATTTACAACCATGTGCTCCTCATCATCATCGTCATATACCAACCACTATTTTCAGTTCCATGATTGAATTCATTCATAGCTTGATTCCAAGCAGCACATAAAGAAAAAAGACATTTTGTTTTTGAAATGTAAATGACAAGAGCAAAAGCATGTACTTATTAAGTAAATAGCACTCATTTTTAAACGAAATATACAATGAGTTAGGTTGGGTTAAGTTTGGGATCAATTTGATAAAAATAGTTTGAATTACTTAATCCAATACAACCTAATTAATTAAAAGAGTTTCAATTCAAACCCAATGCATATGCAACCACGTTTATTCTTTATCTGGGATGATAGGAGATTTCACAATCGTAGTCTTTGAATGGCTCTAGCCACCTTCCTTGTCCCATGTTAACCTTATTTTGACATAACAAATACCGTAGACTCTTATAATTTGGTGTAGAGTCTAAATTTTGTCCAATAAAGGTAATGTAGCCACAGTTTCAAAGCAAATACAATGACAACCAACTCCAAATAATGGGTCGGGTAATATACTTCGTGCGCTTTAAGTTGTCGTGAGACATGTACAATAACCTTGTCTCGTTGTGTGAGGACACAACCAAGAGCCACATAAGAAACACCACTAAGTACTATAAAGTCTTCGGTCCCCTTCGATAAGATGAGAATCAGAGCTTCACATAACTTCTTCTTTTACTACTCAAAAGTTGCCTTCTGTTTCTATGTCCAGAAGTAGGGGATTCCCTCTTGGGTTAATGCACTCAAAAGTTGTGTCTGTCTTTGAGAAATATTTAATAAATCTTTTATAGTATCCTACAAGGCCTAGGAAAATCCAAATCTCAGTTGGTCTTTTTAGAATCTCCCACTTGGTTACAACATCGATCTTTGCTGGGTTATCTTTAATACCACATTTACTAATCACATGACCCAAAAACTGTCCCTCCCCGATCTAGAATTCACATTCTGAAAATTTTCATACAATTTTTCTCATTTCAACAACTCCAAAACTTTGCTAAAATGCCTTTCGTCTTCATCATCACTATTGAAATAGATGCGGACGTTATCAATGAACACTATCATTGAACCGTGAAGAAATATTTTGCACACTCGATTCATGAGGTCCAAGAATGTCGTTGGGTATTTCTCAAACGAAATGACATTACCATAAAATTATAGTGCATGTAACACGTTTAGAAGACAATCTTTTCTATATCTTCACCCCTTACCTTCAAATGATGATACCATGACCCAAGATCAATCCTTGAGAAGTAGTCAGCACCTTGATGTTGGTTGAAAAGGTTGTTGATCCTGGGTAGATGGTATCTATTCTCTTTGCAGTTACCTTGTTGAGCTCATGATAATCAATATTGTTATGTAATAAATGAGACAATATGCAGAAAAACACAACCATAAAGACACTGTATTTAATGTGGTTCGATCAAGTTGATCTACGTTTATACCGCAAGAGAAAGTAT